GTATGTGTGTGTGTGGGGGGGGGGGAGACATGTGTTTGTTGGGGTGGGTGCATGTGTGTGGCATGCGCGTGCGTGAATTGTTGCATGTGAGTTTACGTGCTGCCTGCACGCGGCGATCATCCGGCACCGTGTTTTGAGGGCGGCAAGCTGCGCAGCTGCTCTTGCTTTGCCCAGCAGCCTGCATGCCCTTCCGGTGTTCTGGGAAATCCAGCGCAATCCAGGGGCCCATCCGACTTCCGGGTGTGCCTACACTAGAACACAAAACACCAGCCGCGTACGGCCATCCGGCGGGATGGGCAAGATGCACATCCAATTCTCGCCCGATTAGCTAGGAACGCACCTCGTCGCCTGACGCCTGCTTCCAGCTGGTCACGCAGGCACCATGCAGGTACACCTACGGTACAACGAGGGAGTGCGGTACAGCGGTATGGGGTCTGCAGCTGGGCAGTACAGGGGCATGCAGTAGGAGAGGGGAGTGGGTGGACCCCAGGCATCTGCGACTGACGGGGGCGAGCAGTGCTGCAAGAGACAGACGGGACTATTGTGTTGATGGGGTCGCGGGGTGCGAGCGCATCCAGGTGGCCTCTCCACGCATTGGTGCTTATAAAGCAGGGGGTCGGCTGGAAGATGGCGGCCGCAGGGTCAAGTCAGGAGGCAAGCAGCCGCCCAAAGACAGCCCCTTTGAACATGTGACGGGCGGGCCCACCGCCCCCTTCGCGCCGCTAGGCGCCGCGGGGCCTGCTGAGCGTGCACGGGCCCCGGCTGAGGATGATCTGGTGCGCCTGATGCTGCCCTGCAATCACCTGGGCGGACGAACCGCTCGAGTGCTTGAGCACGACAGTGGGGGTGCCTGCCTTTCCATCCACAAACTCGACGTTCCCGGGGATGCCTTGAGTTTAAAGGGACGTGTTTGGTTTGTTTGGTTGTGGGGGGAGGGCGGGTTGGGTGGAGCAGGTGGGGCGGAAGGCAGGGGTGCAGGGGGGAGGGGGCGGGCTGATGACTTGGAACATTGCGACGCGGCTGGACCGCACGGGGGAGCCACGGCTGGCCCGATGATTGCGCGTGGATGGTGGAGATCGCTGTTGGAGCGCACGGGGTGATCCGCACTGTTGGCAGCATGCGAATGCCGCCCAGGGCGTGAAACAATCGTTGAGTGCGCATCCTTGGCTGCCCGGCCTTAGGCACAAGGAGTCGGCCCGCCCGCTGCCCCGGCAACTGGCAGGCGCCCAAGCAGCCCGTGCGGCCCTGCTTGACTGGGCGCGAGCGCGCTCATCGCTCCCCATCTGCTGCTTGGTGCATTGTGGTTTTGGCGCCAAGGCTCACCAAACTGCTTCTGCAGGTCAGCGGTGGTGGCGGCGGCGCGCACGACGACCGCCCTGCGGCTGGCCGACTGGAAGGCCGCGCACTGGCGGGTCCTGGATGATGAAGGAACATCAAGGGGTGCAGGAATGCAAGGGGTTGGGACATACTTTGCGGCAGCGCTCGGCAGTAGCCCCCAACGCAGGCATCGCCCCGCGGCTGGCGTCGGGCACAGGGTTGGTGCACCCATGTCAGGGGCCACATTGCTGGTATGCATGCGCGACCGTGGTTCGGTGAGGGTGGTGTTGGGTCTGAAGGCTCTGCAAATGCCCACCTGACGGCCCTGACGGGCACCCCGGTCCTCGCGGAAAGCATTATGCTTGATCTGTGATGGCGTGCCGCGTAACCTGTGGTCCGGATCGTCGCGAAAACAATGAAGAAGAAATCGAGAGCCGGGGTGGGGCCCTTAGAGGAGCTTGCAGCATGTACACTGGTCGCAGCTGCCCTCCGCCTGCTGTGCCCACAACCACGACACCTCGAAGACTGAAGCCATCTCACCGCGACACATTGTCAAACGGTGAATCGATTAGCTTATTGCGCCATATCTCAACACAAACAACCCACACAACGATCTCACGACAAGCACCATGCAGTCCCTCGCGCAGCGTAGGAGCATAGTTGGTGAGATTTCCCGGATTGCACGTTATAGTTGTATCGGTGCAGACGTTGCATTGCCTAGGTCGTGAGGTCGTGAGAAGCGGCGCGCTGCCCACCTCAAAACTCGGCAGCGGGTAGTGAGCCCTCTCCGAGGGCGCGTTCGCATGCGGTTTGTGCATTGTCGGACAGTTACAAGCACCTGCATAGCCCCATCTCGTGCACATGCTGCTCGCGAGCGGCGCACTCCTGCGACACTCCTCGACCCCTTGCCTCGATGCATCGCCCCCCGCCCCCGCACGCCCCCGCAGCGGCCCGCGCCGGCGCCGCACCCCGCGCGCCCCTGCGCGTCTCTCGCAGCCGCAGCGTTGCGTGCGAGGCTGCCTCGATGCAATTCATCAAGGGGATTGACGAGCCCACAGTGCCAGAGGTGTCCCTCCGCCGCGCGCGCAACGGCAGCAGCGGCAGCGCGCAGCTGCTGTTCGACAACCCCTCCATCTTCCAGGCGTCCGGGGAGGCCGGTGACATCACCGGTGAGGGCCGCACGGCAGCTGGGGCGGCTGTTTGCAATGAGTGCTGGCCGGGGCCTAGACGGGTGGTCGGGGTGAGGTGGTGGGACACAGGAGCCATTCTCCACATGGCGCTGCGGCTTGACCATCGTGGCGCCAATCCAAGGGAGCCAGAGCCTCAGCAGAGCGACAGCGTGCTGTTCAGACACGCCTGTCGACTGCCCGAGCGACAGCCAGTGCCGCCCTGGCTTGCTTGTGTCGGATAGTGGCGAACGACAGCGGTCAGTACCGACCCCGCACGCACACATGCGCCACCAGGCGCCCATTGACATGGTTCCAGCTAGGCACCGCTTTTGACGCGCCTGTTCAACTGCGCTTCATACCTCCAGGCCTGTTTATGATCGACGAGGAGGGCGAGCTCAGCACGACTGATGTGAAGGCGAAGTTCGTCAACGGCAAGCCCCAGGTGTGAAGTTCGCACTGCCGCGCGCGTCCCCCAACTCGCATGACGCATGCGGCCTATCTCGGACGTTTTTCCCGGGGGCGACTGCGGCGCTTGCATGCTCACAGGCACAGGGGAGCGGTGGGGTAGGGGAGCGGTGGGGTCGGTTGCATTGCGGCAGGATCTGATTAAATGGGGGACCTTGTTGTTTCTCGTCCAACCTTGGACACCCGCGATTTCGGCAACCCACATGGGCCCTCAGGCCATTGAGGCGAAGTACAACATGCGCAGCTCATTCGAGTGGGACCGCTTCATCCGCTTCATGGACCGGTGAGTTGCCGTGTGTGCGCACAGGCGTGTGCGTGTGCATGTGATGCATGTGCGTGTGCGTGTGCGTGCGCGTGAGCGTGTGCGTGTGCGTGTGTGTGTGTGTGTGTGTGTGTGTGTGTGTGTGTGTGTGTGTGTGTGTGAATGTGCATGAGCATGTGCAAGTTTGTACATGTGTGGATGTGCATGTGCGCGAGGGAAGCGTATGGGTAAGCAGTGCTTGCTGAGGGGCATGTGCATGTGGATCGCACGCGCACGGGTATGTGAGGGCGAAAGGGCGTTGTTGTGGCCCGTGCCTGGGGGCGCAGCGAGCGAAGCCATGACACTAGCATGAGAAGCGAAATCGGCCTGTCAACTGCCGAGCCGCTCGTCTGCGCACCCGCCATGACGACTCATCACCGCCATCCGCTTCCCCGCTCACGCTCGTCGCCACGCGCGCAGCTATGCCGAGTCAAACGGCCTCGGTGAGCCCCGCTTTAGCTTAATTAGGCATTGGTGCTTTGGAGCCCTCCCGGGCGACGCGCTGTGGGCGACGCGGGCGCCGCGCGTCGGTTGCTTTGGGGGTTTCACGGAGGCGTGTCTCCCATCTGCCGGGCAGAACGGCTGGCGCGCCGCATGACATCGCATGGGTGCGCTGCGGGCAGCCGGCGGCGTCATGAAGCTGGACCAACGCCCGCCTGAACTGCGTTTGCCTGCTGCAGGTTTCGAGAAGAAGTGAAGCTGCAGCCCGTTGTCTGCAGTGGAAGCTGAGGAGGCGCTTTGGACAGTTTCTCGCGGCCCGCCTGGCGGCGCTCGCCGGCCGCAGCGGCGCGTCCCGGTGCTGTTTGCAGTGGCATAGGCTGTGGATGTGGCAGGGGCGGCCTGCAGGGGTTGAATCTCCGGGGCCGCGCCGCGGCGGGCGAATTTTCTTCTGCTGGGCCAGTGCCGCCAGCAGTGTTTTTGGAGACGCAGGCTGCTTTCAGGGCCGGCGCCGCATCAGCCGCGCCCGCGCCGGGCGCTTCGCGGGGCCGAGCGAGCGTGCGTCGGCCCGGCCAGGCGGGGCGCGCATGGCGCGGGCCCTCGGCGCGTTGGCGCTTGCATTCTTCCAGCGCCGAGGCCCGAGCGGCCCGCTGCCGTTTTTGAACAACTTTCATTTGGTGTTCCGCGTCTTTATGGGTGCCCCCATGAAAAAGCCTGTACTGCCTTTGCCCGCGGCTGTTTTCTCGGGTGATTAGGTCATCACCCCACGCACTCTGGTTCCAGAATAGTAACACTCCGGGCCTCGCTCGCTGCCCCAGCCGCGCCGGCCGCACCAGCGCCAGTCAGGGGCAGCCAACCAGGCCGCGCGCCGGATCACCGCGCCCAACCCAGATCACGAGATCGTCGGGCCGTCAGGCCGTCATCGCGGCGCGCTCGGTCTCGAAGATGACAACGCGGAAGAGCTTGGCCGTGAAGGGGCCGGCTTCCTCCTCAAGGACGATGGACGCCTCCTCTTCCACCTGCAGGGGGGGGGGATGAGAGGGCAGGGGCGCCATTGGGTTGTCGGAATGGCAGCAGCTAGGGGGCAGCCGCTGGGGCCAGCAGCGGCGCGTCGGAAGGGGTGGTGAAAGGGGCAGGGGCGTCGTTGGGTTGTTGGAAGGGCAGCTGGGGGGAGCGGCTGAGGGGAGCAGGGGCGCGTGTGAGGGCGCCGGCAGCGGGCAGGGACGAGGGGGGCGCGCCCGCGCCGATGAGGCAAGGTGCCTGGAGCAACGGGAGCCAGGAGGCTTGCGGCATGAGCAAGCGCCCTGCGCCCCTGGTCGCACGAACGCCGGCAGGAGACAATGCGTCCTCTGTTGCCACCCCTGCGGCTGCGCCCCGCGGCCAGCCACTGCAAGGCAAGCCCACAAAAGAGCCTCTCAGTCCGCCCTGTGGTGGTTTCCCTGCCGCCCCCCCAACCTCCCACGTGAAAGATCCCGAACCCTTGTAAGGGGACCCAAGAGGCCACCGATATCACCACGCCTGACAGAGCGCCTTGCTCGGCAAACTCCCCTCAAAGAACAAACACACACACACACACACACACACACACACACACACACACTTGAGTCATGAGCGCCACCCAGCACCACCCTGCAACCGTCGAGGTGGTACACAGAACACAGGTTGCCTCTAGACAACAACAGCTCACAATCGGATGTGCACGCCATAATGGCCATCCAAGGCGTGTGCACAACAACCCACCTTGGGCGGCCCCTCGTGCTTGGCCAGCAGGCCGAGGATGAACTCCACAAAGTCCTTCTCCTCAGACCCGATCATCTCCGCCACCTTGCGCCCCACCCAGCCACTAACCTTGGACTGCGCGGGGCGGGTGAGGGCGGGGCGGAGGTGGCGTGCGAGGGCGGGGCGTTCGAGCGATGCAGGAGTGGGGGCCGCGACACGTTAGGGCAGGCGGCTTGAAAGGCTGTGTGGCGACGCAAGCGCACGGCAGGCGCAAGTGGCGGTCACCGGCGGCAGCCCAGGCCAGCGCCGGGGCCAGGCGCCCGCCCCGCCCTCCCTGGAGCACGCCGGCCGGGCGCGCTTGGGAAGGGCTGCCGGCCCGCGGTCGCGCACCTGCACCGCGGGCGTGTAGTGCTGCCATTTGATGGGCCACGCCGCAAGGCCGTCGAGCGCTATGGGAATCGACTCCATCAGCCGCCGCAGCGCCTCCTGGCGCGCCGCCTCGCCGCCGCCGGCGGGCGCAGGCGCCGCAGCCGCGGGCGCCGCGGGCGCGGGCGCCGCGG